CCTACCTACCCCTACCCCTACCTACCTACAATTGTGCGTACGTACACATACAGCATCGAACCTGAAAACGCATACATACATATATATATATATATATATATATATATATATTATACACATAGGTATGTATGTGCATGTATGTCCCTGTAATATATATATATATATATACACATAAATATACACACATAGACATATACATATGAAGTACATATATATATATATATATATACACAGCAGTAGACTCTTCGTGGACACGCATGTACACGTACATAACGTGTAGACCTACACGTTTGATGATGTATCTGCAGTAGACTGCGCAAGGTTCAGAGCGATGAAGTTAGGGCTGATGGTGCATGACCCCCGTTGCCGGCACGGGCGTGAAGAAACTCTTTGGAAACGAAGTCTGACTCATCCCGGCAAATCAAGAGCCTATGCGCCACGAAACTTGCAAACCGCAACGGGAAACAACTGCCCTTCAGGGCCCTGAAGCCGCAAGCCCTGAACCCTTTCCGGCCGTATACTCGAGTCAATGATCTCTGCGCTTCTATATGGGAGTATGATCTCGGCCCCTGTAAGCCCCAAACCGTGTGCTTTACAAACCGTAGTGAGACGAATCTCGCAGCCGCCACCAGCTGGCCAAAGAAAGCCAGGAAGCCCTTCATGCGTCCTGGAATCGAATCTTTTCACCGTTTCCGCTTTTGTGGAGATCGGAGCAGGGCCGATTGATCTTGGCACCGCTGGCCGTCCCACGCGGAAGGCCAAGAGGGACCACGGCTGATGAAGGGCCAGTGCGCCCACTCCGGCGATCATCGGTCACTTGCACAATCAAAGGCGCATCAGACGTCGCCGGGATCTGCTGTGGCGGACCCAGCCACATAGTCTCAACGGTGACTTTGCTCGCTGGCTCGTGCGTGTTGTTGTAAAGCTTGACTCTCAGACCTTTTCAAGTCTCTACCCATAGGCTTTTTGGGGTTCATATATAGAATCCTATAAGGTAATCCCAAAAAGGAAGAACTGTGGGGCCTAAGGGTATGCCTCAAGCTCTATAGACGCTGAAAGCAAAATCTTCAACCTCGAGCTCTTCACCCCAAATCCTGATTGCACTTGGGAGGGAAGCCCACTGCTAAGGGCTTGGGATTGACGGGGTGAATATTAGGGTTTAGGGTTTACGGGGTTTAGGGGTTTAGGGTTTCGGGTTTAGGGTTCAGGTAGTCAGGGCTCTGGTGCTCGGCTGCCCCCCTAAACCCTAAAATTAAACCCTAAACCCAGAAGGCTGTCCTAAACCCAAAAGCTCTAGACCGTAACCCCATCGCGCAGTTCACAGTTGCCTGGCACGACGTCCGCAGCAGCGCATCACGAATGGAGGTGGCATCTAAGCTTTGGAGCCTCTCCAACTTGGTGGCTGAGAGTTGAGGTCAGGGAGTTGCGGCTTCGGGTTTAGGGTGTAGACTTAGGCTGAGTTAGGGTTTAGTTTAGGGTTCAGGGTTTACAGTTTAGAACTCAGGGTTTAGAGCTTAGGGTGTAGGGAGTTAGAGTTTAGAGCTTGTAGGGTTGAGGCCGTAAGGTTTGGCAAGTAGGGTCTAGAGTTTAGGGCCTAGGGGTCCTTAGGGTTTAGGGCGGTTTGCGGCCAAGGGGTCCATGTGCCGAAATAGTATGATCCTAGTCAGGTATGGGTACTTCTATACAGGTACATGGACCATTCCGTGAGGCGACAGCTTCCTCATCCCTAAATTGGACATTTGAAAAGTAAGAGGACCCTCTTGTGGATCCTAAGTTAGTAGCAGCCTTCTAACGAAGGATCACCACCATTTCGGAAACAATAACCAGCTAGAAGGACAGTCAGAATCATCATCCCCCCTACACCCCACACAGTTCGGTCGTAGTCTAGAAAGCTCAGGTCGAGGCGCTGGGGAAAGGAGGTGCTTTTTCCTAGGGCTACTTACTCCTGGGTCCTCCTACCCAAGATCTTAGTGCTTGGTGTCTTTGCTCTGGGTTTCTTGTTTTCTCAAAGGCGTTGGTGTGAATATGGAGGGTTCGAGGGTTAGATCTTGGACCCTTACCCCTGCCAGCACCAGAGAAAACCTATCTTCTCAGGGCTGCGTATCATCAAGAGTTCTTATCTCGTTCCTTAAAGCGGCAAGGCGGCAAGTTCTCGTCTCGTTCCTTAAAGCGGCAAGTTCTCGGGAGATCGAGAAACACTAGAGCCCCATGCTGGATCCGCTGCTGCTGCTTTGTTCTCCAGGCAATGATGCCCGTTTATCCAAGCGGCATCAGCCACATTGGGCTCGAGGGGGTTTTGGGCATAGGGTTTAGGGTGTAATGTTGAAGTTAAGAGTTTATGGCTTAATGCTTCAGGGCTTAAGGAAGAGCTGGGTGCCCCACTCCTGCTGCTGGGAGTGGGAATGACGGCCATTGAGGCATTGCCCTTGCCAGTTGGCGAACAGATTGTGGAAGCTGTGGAAACTAACCCGGGCGCCTTCGGAGAAAGCTGGGACGCTCGAATCCCCCGGCGGCTGCACATGCTCATGACCATGCTAGGACCACCATCCCCCGGCGAAACTGGTACCAGCCAGCCTGATCAAGGGCCAGTGTTGGGCGTCATCGACCCTCTACAGCTACTTCAGCATGAACTCTGAAGAAGAGGCTGGCCTTTCAAGTTAACCCTAGACATACATAAAGACTCTAAAGCCTCCAACCCTACACCTCATAGATACCCTTAACCCTTAGCCATATACCCTAAACCCGTAACCCTAAACCCTAGACCTACACCTTATAACCCCGAAGCCCTCAACCGCAAACCCCAATCAATAGTCCATGTCTGGGAAATGCCCGGGCAACTGCTGGAGGCCTCTCCATAGGCTTCTCCAAAAGGCGACCTTGGTGCGGTATTGGTGTACATACATATACATATACATACATACATACATACATACATACATACATACATACATACATACTTACATACATACACACATACATACATACATGCATGCATACATACATACACCCATATCTACATACACATTTGTTTGCTTACTTATTTGCTTATTTAAACAGTTTGTTTGATGTCTGTGTATTTTATAATCTGTGTATGTGTATAGATTGAGGGCTCTGGTGCCCGAAAAAACAATCTGGGTATGGGGGGTCTTGGGTTTAGTACGGACCTCCGGAGGGACATAGACAACACCCATTTCGGCGGAAAACTCTCTCTTCAAGCAAGCCAACATACTACCAGTAGGGACAGCCCACCAAAAGCTTAATCCCACATAGCCTTACCCTAATAGAGCAGAGTCGTTAACGAAACCCCTTCGTGCGTCCCAGCAGCTTAACCCCGCAAACCCTTACCCTGATAGAACCGTTAACAGAACCCCTTCATGTCCATACCCCTAAACCCTAAACCCTAAACCCAAAGCCCTAAACCCTAACCCTAAACCCATTCATGCCCCATAAGACTTTTGGTTGGGCGGCTTTCGCTCCGGAAGTACTGCACTGAGCAGCGGAGACCGGGCAACGCGACGCGACTCTGAGGCGAACCCGGGCTGCAAACCCCACGGGTCCGTGTAGAAAAATAGTGTAAACAGATAGGTCGACCGAGAGATAGATAGATCGATAGATCGATACATCGATGATAGATAGATAGATAGATAGATAGATAGATAGATAGATGGATAGGTTGATAGATAGATAGATAGATAGATAGACAGATAGATAGATAGATCGAGATCGACATTTAGATTCATGGTATCGATGTTGGATGCTGGTCATCACTTGAAAGAACCTATGCTAAACCCTAAACCCGAAAACCAAAAGCCCTGCACCCTAAACCCTAAATGCAGTAGGGAGCCGACTCCAGCTGCCCGCAACTGGCTCCTGCAGGCGGCAAGCGTCCACGGCAACCTGCACATGGGTAGTTCTCTAAATTAGGGTTGTCCCAAATATAGTACGTTAGGGTTTAGGGTTTAGGGTTTAGGGTTTAGGGTTCTCTAAATTAGGGTCCCCTTTTAGGTCCCCAATATAGTACGGCACCCTTATAAAATGGACCCTAAAAGGGACCCTAATTTAGAAAACTACGCACACTGTGTGGTGAAGATCCAGGGCTGAGGGTTTGGGGCTGAAGGTTTAGGGTTTAGGGTTTGGGGCTGAAGGTTTAGGGTTTAGGGTTTGGGGCTGAAGGTTTATGGTTTAGGGTTTGGGGCTGAAGGTTAGGATTTAGGGTTTGGGGCTGAAGGTTTAGGATTTAGAGTTTTCGGCATGGATTTGAATGGTTTAAGATGGTTTAGGGATTTAGGATTTGGGGCATAGGCAAACGTGCAGATTGCTTCCGCCGTCTATGTGAAGCTCCCTCACCCTAAACTCTAAAACGATAAATCCCTAAACCAATCCCCGGGAACGCTTAATCTCGGAAACGCAGCTTTGACAAGGCTGTACCGGGCTTTAAAGACCGTTAACGGACCTACAGGGCTGTAGATAATGTAATATATAATATGTGTGTCTGTGTGTATGAATCTAATTGTCTAATAAAACGATTCCAATATATAGTAAAAACACAAAAAGTTGGAAACCGGATCAAGGACAAATAGCGCTGGGATTCCCTATACATAACTCTTAGGGACTGAGGCTATAGGGTTTCCAACTTTTGGGCTTCTACTATAAGTACTTCAGGATCAACGTGTATACTATAAACCCTAAACCCTAAACCCTAAACCCTAAACCCTAAACCCTATATACCCAAGGAGGCCTGGGTGGTCGGACTTCGGGACTTAGTGTGGAAACATGAGCCCGTTTTCGGGCTTATGATTCGAGTTCTATAAGGCAAGAGGTAAGCTACCCTAGTAAACGCTAAAGCTTTATAACCCTAAACCCTAAGCCTCTTGCCTAAAACCACTAAGCCTGAACCCGACATAAAGTCAGACCAAAGGCTACCTCCACGAGTCAATGAAAGAGAAGCCGAAATTCCAGATCGTGGCGCCCACCAGTCAACTTAGCGGCTGGGTATGCCAGCGCCCCCAAACACCTTGTGGTTCTTGGGGTTTAGGGGTTTAGGGCTTACGGTTTAGGGGGTAGGATTATGCTGACCCCAAAAGGTTAAAGGCTACTTACCCAGCCCCTACGGGAAATTCGAGGGCCCCAAACCTGAGCGCCATATGTAAGGAAGTAGGGAAAAGACCCACCAAAACCCTAAACACAAACCCTGAAGTAGGGAAAAGACCTGGAAGCATAGAGGGATCCGAAACCCTTAAGTAAGAAACATGCCTTAGGCAAGGGAAAAGACCTTAAAGGACCTTAAGCCCTTAAACCCTCAACCCTAACCCGAAACCCTTAACCCCACACCCTAAAGTATAGAGGGATGCCCACCTCTCCCTCGGGGAGAACTAGCTGGAGACGTAGGCTGGCCTGGGTAAAGCGCAGGTTCAAGAGTTCACTGAGGGTCCATATGCCCAAATAGTATATAGTAGTAGTAGTAGTAGTAGTAGTAGTAGTAGTAGTAGTAGTAGTATATACTTTAGCCTTAAAGTAGTCCAATATAGGTACTATGGGGCCAAAGTATATACTGTTTGCCTTATAGGGTTTGGCGGTTGAATGCTATGATGCTTGAGGCTCCAGAGTTTGGCGTCTAGGTTACCCAGGTTTGGGGATTTTGGCGGCATGGTTCACCCTTACCCTCAAAGGACTCATATTTTATGGCTTTTGGGCCCAAAGACCCGATTCTATAGGGTTATTGGGGCTACCCATAATCCCCATAGTAGTTCCTTTTTGGGGTTACCTTATAGGATTCTATAAATGAACCCCAAAAGGAACTACTTTAGGGCTGTTGGGGCTATTTTGATGCTAAGGGTCAGGGT